CTATCTGCAAACCCTGTCAAGCCCCCCTTGAAGCCGACGAAGTCGGGGCATATCTTTGACACCCGTTTAATGCTCTGCCCAATGATAGTATGTACGGTAACAGTTTGACCCGAACATGACCTGTCTTTCCTGAATCAAACCAGTTCCGACTGGCAGAGTTCGGCATCCAGCACACCTCTTATTCTCTCCAGGATGACGCCACTTAATGTTTTATTTGGCCTGGACCATATCATGGTTCCGCGCCAGTTCCTGCAGAGGCCTAAGTAGAAGTTCTTTGGTAGTTTGACAAGGTAGTCTTCCTTCCAGTCAGGACGTACCTTTCTTTCCTTCCAACAGTTTTGCAATAAAGGCGTCAGGATATACTCTGTGGTTTCTGGATCAGTTTTTAGTGCCTCTGGAGGGATTTTGCCTGGCTCTGCTACCTTTTCAGATTTCAGTAGCTTGACTGCACCTGGGATTTATGTTTTTGTTAGATGATTGGTGTCTACTGGCAGTCCTGTGCATACTGTTGGTTGTATTTCTGGGCGAGTTACGGGAGACGGTTAGTTCAAGAGCCCTTTGAAGTGACCAACCTATTGGTTTGTCTCTCCTCCTTGGCAATTAGATTCCCCCGACTGTCTTTTCTAGGTTTTACCTGCGTTGGTCTCTTCCCAGACAGAGGCCTGATTTAATGTCGTGAGGTCTGCTTTTATTCCGGTATGTTCTTCTCCAGTTGCTAGTGTGCCACGGAATCATCTTTTGTCTTTCCTAGCACTCTGCTTCACTTTTTTATTCAGGGCGATGTACGCTGAACGCAGATTCCCCCTCTGTTGTGCATCTTTACACAGGCTTGTGTCCTGTTTCACAATCATCCTCCCTTCTATTAGATTACGGGTGTCCGTAGAGAAACATTCTTTGTCATGCTTCTTCTTTCTTCCTACAATGGTTTCATACTTCTATTTGAACATCATCCACAGAGAATTCCGACGATTTCCACACAGGTTTCCTCAGTGGTACAACATAATGTCTCCCTCTTCGCGCCAATGGCTGCACTGATGGTCTGGGAAACCTGTTGGTTACGCTTATTGAGAGGTTTCGAGTTTGTACCCAATAAGCTTCAACTGGAAATAACTCCCATGATTGTCATGTGCCCATCTATCCTGTCAGAGCTCTAACCACACTACCTGATGACTCTTTAGCCTGGCCCTACTAACCTTGTAACCAGGCTGTTCATAACACCACACCCAATAGTGAAGACACAACAAAACTCGCAGTTTATCAAATTTGACTTATAAGCGATGATAGAAATTAATTATATCGATACACAGTCACACGACATCGACGCCGCTGAGTTCTTGTCTGTTTTAGACTAAATTGACCATCATGTGCTTCGGTCCACACGGATAAACAAGTTGGTCGTTGACAGTAAAACTGCTGAGGTTAATGAGCTTGACAAACTTCTTTGATCCTCTTTACGGGGGTAATTTTTAGTTTTGTCTTGCAGCTTTTGAGTTTTGAGCATCAATTGTGGTCTGCCTCCAGCTGTTTTCAGCCTGACCTTGGATGGTCTAAGGTCACATCTTCTCCGCTTATCGACTTTGTATCCAGCAGGCTGAGTCTCTAATTTTTGGCGCTGCATTAGGATGAAGTCTATCTGATTTTTGAGGTATCCATCAGATGAAATCCATGTTGCTTTGTACATACCTTTAGGCTTGTACATGGTGACTCCGGTTACCAAATCGTCGAAGGCACAGGGGTCTGAGAAGAGTCCTCCACTGCCATTCATTTCTTCGAGAGCCCCTCAACCCATGATGAGTTCTCTTCTTGTACTGTCTTGTCCCAGTGGAATTTTGATGCCCTCATTTGGAATGTTGTCCGTTACTGTTTGTAGTTGTCCACTGAAATCTCCTTTCTTGTCTTGTTCAGAGTTGTTTGTGAGTGCATAGCGTCGTGACCTTCCTTCCTTTTGAGTTGAGTCTTGCCTTCATTATCCCGGATCATATTAGTTCCCACTGCATATTAGAACTTTACTGTTGTTGATGACTTCATGATAGCCACTCACTGCCTCAGTGTGGTCGTGGTTGTCGTCTGGGTGACTGAGGCAGACTACTGACTCTCCAGTTGACGGTTTGGATAGTCCACATCCATTCCACCTGCTCCTACAGATTCATAACACTCCTATACCGTATTTTCTCATTTCTTTCACTAATTTTGTAGCCTTTCCACTTTAGAGCATTGTGTGAACACACCACGTACCTATCCTTATTTTTGATTTCATCGAAAGAAGACACATCGGCTGACAGGCCTTCCGAAGGCTTGCAACAGCCCGAGTCATTTTGTCTCTCCCAATCCAGAGAAAAATAAGTTTTCTTTTGGTGTTTTTCAAGTTTCTGTAGCAGTTCAACTGATTTCCTGGGATAGGGTTGTTAGCTCAACAAAGAGATGTACAGACAGTCAGCTCGTGTTGCTATGGGGTCGCCGCTAGGTTCAATCCTGGCAAAACTAGAGAATGGCCCTATTAAAGATGTGATACATAATCTTGATTTCTCTTGCCGTTACATTAGTAGTTTCGAAGAAAGAAAGTGAGGTAGGGAATATGTTGGAGAAGTCCAACAGAGCGCATCCTGCCATACGTTTTACAAAAGCAGAAGAACAAAATGATTGTACCTCGTTTTGGGATGTCCTAGTGAATTCACGAGAAGACGGGACAACATATAGACGATTGCATAAGAAACCTTCATCAACTGGGTAATATGATGATTTCCGTCCCTCTACAATGAAAACGTAATTTGGTTGGATGTTCGGTTTACCGGGCTTGATTGATTTTTTCAAATGAAACACTGAACGAAGAACTCAATAACATTCAAGATCTACTAAGTAGAAACGGATATCCGACAAAATTTTCGTGTAAACCTATGGGCTCAGCAAGTAAACAACTCAGGATATCCACAGTACCCACCCAAAAATCAGTGTTCCTAGGATAGCTATCCACGGGAAATTTTAATGTGATTTTGTCATAACTTGCTAGAAGGGTCTCCACAAGGACTTTTATTTAATGTAGTTAAGTTGTTTATTCATTAGCTAACTAATACCGAGTTGGAGATATAAAGACAAACTGCCCTGTTTCGCCTTCTCCATGTGCATTTAGCAGTTTAACCGCTCTTGCGGAGCTACTTACAGTGAACGTGCGATCAGGCAGGTTCATCATCGAGTTTCTGAATACCCTCCCCAGCTTGGTTTGACAAAGTTCCGAATAAAGCTGGACACAGCCAAACACTAGTTCATCTCATCGATACTGGACACCAAGCAAACTATAACAAAGCTTTTAAAGTCATTTATTTTATTTCACATGGTCTACGAGTACGACTTCCGCACTCAGCAGAAGCAATCGGAACACGTCATATCTGTGTATTCAAAGAAAGATGTGCAGCTCTTTTCTTTGTTATGGCCATCTTCATAATATCTATTAAGTTTCTAAAAACCACTTTCTTCTCCCCTTGTAAAACTATCTTTTGATTTTATTATTTTTTGCCATTCTAGCTAATTCTGCAACGACAGAAGACAAGGTTTAGGCAGCAGATCATTTATTGAGAAAATCAAGAGATATTTACAAATTTTCACATACATTATTATTAACAGAGAAACAGCGTCTTCTGATTGTTTGTTTTCTCGCTGAAGGTTATTCTGTCATTTCTTTGTTGCCGTTTCTTTGACAGTCCATTGATATATCTGCGAATCGTATCCGCCCACACTGAGTCTGCTGTGATTGGTTGTTGGGTTCCCCAAGGTTAGTGTTTGTTCTTGATTTTTTTCATGATCCCGATTTGGACGTAAATACTGACGTAAATTACTGTCGACCAATTTTGGCTAGCAGACAGCTCCCACCACAATTCTATTAACTTCTTTGTATTTTACATAATTCATCTGAGTCGTTCTATTCTTCTTAGTCATCATTATTTTACGAATTTCTTGATTATGTAACAACTTGTTGCTCACTCCTAGCAATTAAATGATCTTGAATCTCGTAATTAATTTTCATTGCTCCTTCAAAACTTAGATGTCTTATTACTCACATCTATTAGTTAACTGTTTTGATGACCTCTTAATTTCACTCTCCAACCCCCCCCCCCCGACATATACCTAAAACTGATTAACTAAAAATAACCACATGGTTGATAAAATTATGATAGCGTAGGACCAATGATGAGGAAATTCCTCAAAAGAAATGCACATTTCTTCGCTCAATCTGTTTTTTTCTCTAAAACCAAGACTAGTTTAAAAGTTCTAACATAATCTCCTTCTTAGTGGAAAGCAGTGACATAGTGTAATAAAAATTTTCTATTTTATCTTTGATTACAGCTTGATTTCACACCATATGTTTTGGTACAAGTATGGAATTTCCAGCATGTGATATCGGTAGCCCAAATTTTGCAAGCCCGCCATAGATATCACGTGTGCGTGCGTCGGCGGGAGATCAAACCCCGGATCATATGCATGATCGGCGAGAGTCATAACGGCTGTGCCACCGACGCAGATACGCAACCAAAATCGCCAAACTTAGACATCTATCTAACCATGGGAAGCTGAAACGCCTATTCTACCACTTAAATGTACACGCATAATTCTACGACTACAATCAAGACACTTCATGAAAAAAAAAGAAGCACACACGAGTATCCTAATAATAAATAGAAAGGCTGATAGTATATTATAATGATGAAAACATCACCAGGATCAAAGGGAAAAGTAACACAATAATCACTTTAGTTTGACTAAAACATACACACACACAAAATATACAACCTTATGTTCTAAAATGTAACACTATAACAACATATTAATAAGGTGTTGTAACTGAAGGGTAGTAGTAATAATGCTAATAATAAATGTAGTGAGTAAAGGGTATTTTTCTAAAAAGAAAAGGAAAGAAAGATAAAAGCATAGGTGTGTTTTATGTGAGAGAAAAAAGTAGGAGAAATACAAAACTAATTAAACTGATGATTGATGAAAAACTCGAGATTTCATCGACGGCGCAAATAGATCCAAAGAGCAACAGCTATTACAACAAAACCAGTACTTGTCAGAACTAAGGGGACAAGAAAAGATGAATCGTTGAATAGCTGCAGAGAATGTTGTTCATTTACAGATTCATGAAGCTCTTGTTGTTGATTTTCAGAACACGAAATAACATCGACTACTGAATTCGAATGATTCACAGTAGTATCATCACCACCACCACCAACATCGTCATATGCTCTGCCACGACGTAGGAATTGAAGAATACGCTAGAGTGGAAGGAGAAAACAGTGGAAATAATATGATGCAGAATAATAATACACGAACGACACTACACATAATCTGAACCTAAAATGTCTAACTTACCGTATAAGTTGAATACGTTGTGTTGTGACGCAGTACCTCACTCTAGGAGTAACTACCTGTGAATGTCACTTGACTTATTCACAAAAAACAACTTATTGCAAAACCGAAGAGTACTGAACAGCTGTTTGGTTCTACTCTAGGGCTTTTCGCCAGTGAGCATTCATCAGGGTTCAAACCCAAGGCGTCCTGGTTACAATGTAAGTTCGTACAACCTCGCGGGTGCGTAATGACGAAGAGTCTCAAACTAGGACGAAACAGTCGTCCCGGTAATCCGTGCTGGTTTCCCAATAGTGGTTCTCTAACTGAGATGTCAACTGGTGATCAAGCTTGAAACCAATCGAATCCCTGTGAACCAACATTTGAAAGAAAATTATCTTATGCTCACTGGCGATTGGCTCTATACAAGAAGTTACCTGGAGTTGTGACCACCAGGGAGGGCTATCGAGTCAGCTAAGATAACAGTTACTCACTAGCGCCTAAAACACCGCTTGATGATTGCACTATAGATCACGAATTGGCAGAAGTCGAAATTCCTGTGTTGGATGCCATTGGATCAAACAGAACCTAGTGGCTGAATGGACCTACGAACTCGCGTTTTAGCCGAAGGGCATTTGGTTCGAACCCCGCACACGACACAGGTATCCCAAAACTCCCTACTGGTTCTCCAATAACGCTTCTCAAACTGATGTCACCTGGTGATCAGGTCTGAAATTAATCGAGTCCTTGAGAACTCAAAAACTGAAAATAATCTTATATTCAATAAGTGAAAAACAAAAGAGTAGTAACATGTGAAATTTCACTGTGGATATACACCAGCAGACAGACATTAAATTTGTCTGAATTCTAATTCATTCAAAATCCAATGTGCTTTCATGTCATCTTGAAAAAAAATGAGAATTAATAAAGACCAATAAAATAAGTAGAGCACTATAATATCACATAAAATTTAACAGCCACACGTGTAACTCATCCCGTCCCGCCCCGTCCTCCCCCGCACCCCATACATACTGAAGATATTCACAAAACCCTCCCTATAACATAAAATATCAGAGATATGAATAGATATGTATATTTTGCATACGTCGTTTCAGCTTTCCTCTTGTAAAAAGTAAAACTTTATTCACTACAGATGTCAGTTGTGTGTGTGTGTGTGTGAATGAATGAGTGTGGGTGAATAGTCTGAGAGCGCAAAATTTTACTGCATCTAAATGTGAAAACTTTAATCAATACGATACACATGATGATGATGGTGGTGCTGTAATCCACAGTAATGTTACTTTACGCCACACACACACACACAAACAAACTAATTAACAGTGAGCTAAAAGTCAGAAAAAACTGTTTTAATTTTTTTTGTTGTTGTTAAAAGAATCTCATTGATATTGTGACTGTCAGATACACATTTCTACAGATATCGATGCTTTCTTTAGGTAAGTGATAATCATAATACGACATACCACATTGGTTTGTTTACTAGATGTATCACACAGGCTGTGAAACAGTATTATTCACTGGATGACAATGTTTCAAACACAATCTATTATTGCTCATAATCATATCATCAACTGCAATCACACGACTTCGAAACTTGAGTTTTATACTTTTCTTTGTTCTCTCCTATTTGTAGTCGTAGGGGCAGTAGAAGTTTCCAGATGTCCAACTGGACAGGTGTTGAATCATTCCTATCACACGTATTCCCTCTCAGTTGATTCGATAAAAAAAGTTTCTGTTATCAATCTCTCCCTCCCTTCACCCTGTGACATTAGGTTTTAAAACTGTCATCCTATCCCATCCATCCTATTCTTGGTTGTGTGTAATTACATGTAGTGAGTGGTATAGATGAACTATTCTCTAGATTTCTTATCTCATTCGGGTCAGCTAATCTAATTTTGCTAGGTTTTTATGTTGGCTAGTCTGACTTCCCCTGTTCTACTAGTTTGACTTATGTATTTGACCTGACAGTCATTGCAGTCAGGGTATTAGATAAACTAAATTGTTTTGTCGGTTAAAAGCTCCACAGGATCTACCATTTAACCAACAAAGCTTGTTTTTAATTGAGTATGTGGGTTTGAATGACAGCCACTTGTTAAGAATTCTGCGTAAGGTTTCCGAGGTTCCTTCTTTGTACGGAATTACTACGGATGATTTAGATCCCTTATTGTTGGTGTCGTCATTAATAATAATAATATTATTATTATTTCGATAATTTCTTTTTCTCTGACTCTATCTAGCAAATTGTGTCATATATATACACAGATCGATAGACGACTGGGGGGGGTTGGGCACCCCTCCGTACACCTCTTGAAATGCTCCCATCTGACCGGGCGTCTTACATAGCCTCTCCTGAGGAAGTCCTATTCACTGCCTTCACGTGGCGGAGGTGTTTTCACCGAAGTGAGAGGGCAAAAGCGGATGCCCGGCGCTCTCCACCGGGTTGATTGTCCATTGGATGACAGTCTAGGGGAGATGGCTAAACCCTGATTCCAAACCTCCAACGACTGGCGTATGAAGGCGTATGTCAAAGTCATTTACCGCATACCAACCAAGAAATCTTAACTTCGCCTTAAGATTTCGATTACTAAATATTGCTGAGGCTGGCTGTTGGGATCCACATTAAGAAGCCTAATTTGTGCGTCGAAAAGAAGTTAGTTCAGACATTATCCTTACCCGCTTAGCCATCTAGGTTGGAATGATCATGAATTTTAGTGGAATTATCCTAATTTTAGTTGATATTCTATTTGCTACTATATTATAATTATTATTATTATACTTTATGCATCTTTAATGAAATGTAATTCCATTACGATCTTACTTAACAAACCGATATTATTTAAAGAACACTAATATTGTCCAATTATTGGTTTGTAGGGATTTGGCTGATTGGTTACAGGATTTCATCATGAGCTGACATTGGTCAGAGAAGCATTGGAAAACCTGGGAGTACTGGACAGCTGTTTTGTCCTAGTTTGGGACTCTTCATCAATACGCACCCACCGCCAAGGTTCGAACCCAGGACCTTCTGGTTACAAGGCGAGCCCGTAGATCATTAGGCCACTGGGACCTGATCCGATGGCCCATAAATTCTTATATCAATAGTTACAATACTTGTAACCAGAAGGTCCTGGGTTCGAACCTTGGCGGTGGGTGCGTACTGATAAAGAGTCCCAAACTAGGACAAAACAGTTGCCTAGTACTCCCGGCAGGTTTTCTAATGGTTTTCTAACCAATGTCAGCTAATGATGAAATCCTGTAACTAATATTGTTTTTTTTCTTCACGTTCCCCAATGGAATATAGGGCTTCAAGCTAGTGGCTTGAAGTTTCTGTAGCAGTCTTTATTTTACAGGATGGGGCTACTATCCTTATGCCCAACATTTCCTCTTTACCGGAATTATTTCTGGCTTAGCGAGGCAAAGGAGTGCGTTGGCGGCCGGGGATCGAACTGCGGACTATGTGCATGGTCGGCGAGCGTTCTAAACGCTATGCCACCGACGGACAAACTAATATTGTTATTGACTATTATTCTAGAATATTCTATGTATATACATATATATATATATATATATATATATATATACATATATATATATATATAATTGTAGAGCCAGAAGAGGAAATTATCGAAAAGGATATTTTTTGCTCAATTATTTTGTGTTTTATAGATGTCTAAATGAATATTTAACAATGATTGTGACAATTCATCACTTTTGTTACTACCCTCTTACATGAATAGAACTTTATACAAACGCGACTGTACAGCTGAAGAAGACAATGAATCCGCCGAAAAGAGCCTCCTCGCTGAACCCGTGTTTTTTTTTACATTCAATAATGTATACAAATAAATAATACACAAATACATACATACATACATACATACAATAGAAAAAGAGTCAATGAGACAAAAATCTTGTCAACTTACCCATCCACCTTGTTGTGCAATCCAAACAAATATATTAATATGTCGACAGAAATTAATTAGACATCGACATACTTGATAAAAGGCATTAGCAATACCATTTTTAACTCGTTGTACAACTAAACGATAACCAAAATAGAACAATGTGATCACTTGTCCCCAATTTGTTGGACCACGTGTAAATAATCTTTAAAAATAAAAGAGTAAATTATTTAATTATTTTAATCAACATAGAAATTCACAAAAAAAAATTAAAAAAATAAATAAATAAAAGACTGAGCAAAGTCCGAAACGATTTATTGTGAAAACAAAGTTGTATTAACGCTTTTACGACGCTGTTGTAAGCACATATATGCCTAACCATGTTCATACAACAACACAGTGCACAATATAATATACAATAATAATACAATATAAGGGTTGAAATGAATATCAATTATCGATTTTGCAGGAATTCGATTAGTTTTAGGTTTGAACATCACTTTGAGAACCATCGGGAAGCTAGCAGGAAGTACTGGACAGCTGTTTCGTCCAAGTTCGGGAATCTTCATTGTTACGCATCTATCGGTTACGCTCTGCGGTTACAAGGCAAGCTTGTAGACCCCATTTAGCTACTAAGACTCCATCTAACATTCTATGAATTCCAACCTCTGGCCAATTTGCGATATATAGAGTGCGATTACCAGCCGGTCTCATCGACGAATAATTGTTGTCTTACCCCACTTGGTGGGCGCCACTGTTCACGACTCCTCACCAGAGCTCCACGTAACTTCCTGTATAGAGCCAGTCGCTAGTGAGCGTCCAATCAATTGTCAAGTGTAAGTTTGCAGGGACCAGCGAGGTCGACCAAGTCACGTAAGAGAACAGTTACTGGCACTGATGACACTGGCTGATAGTTGCGCCATATATATCGCGAACTGACAAAAGTTGGGATTCATGAGTCATTGAATTAATTCTCAGTAGGTGAGTAACGCTTAAGAGTCCCTAACTAAAACGAAACAGCTGTCCATTACTCCCTGTTGCCTTTCCAATAGTTCTCGAACTGATGTCATCCCGGGATCAAACCTGGACTAGAATCACCATTTAAGTTAGCACAATCTTTTAAGAAGTTGGTCGGTGAAAGTGGTGTTACTCCAGGAATGAATAAATCTCAGCATGAACTTGGACATGCTCACCTCACTACTTCACAAGGTGTGGAAGGAAGGAAAGGTACTCGTCGAATGAAAGAGAGGTTACATTGTCAAGCTGTCAAGCAAGGCTAATTTAAGCCTTTGTGAAAAATGGCACGGAATCATACTCTTGTCCATCCCTAGCTTAGCAAAATATTGAGTTGTCACCCTGTAAAGAGTAAAAGATGCTCTGGATGCAAAACTCCTCCCTCCCAAAACAAGCTGGATTCAGGAAAATCAAATCAGCTTGCAACACTATGCATCATCACCGTACATAGAATGGGATGGCAGTCAAGCCTCTATCTCGACTTCATAGACTTTGAAGAGGTGTCTTCCACAGCATTCATTGCGAATTGATTTGGAAACTGTCCCAAACCTTTATCAACCGTGTTCAGCAGCTGTATGATAATGCCATATCTAAAGTAATTCACAAAGTAAAGTCCCGGTAAAGCCTTTGAAACGAGTGAGGCAAGACTGTCCTACTACCACCGAAGGTATTCCTGACTGTAGTGGACTGGACTTTGTAACAAACCATGAGAAGATGGACGATTTATGTTTAATGTCGCATAAACTCAAAGATCTATCAGCGAAAACCAACAGGTTGGTAGAAGAGGCAGGTGGCAAAGACAGGACTTCAAGTGAACATAGAGAAGATGGAGGTGATGAAGATAACCAACCAACAACAACAACAACCAGCACTAATCACCATCAACGCGAGAAATTTGACTGAGGTTACTTCCTGTCTTCACTTATATGGCCAAGAAGCACGGTTTCAGCCATAGGCGGGCAAAACGCCTTCATCAACCTAAAACCAGTTTGGAAATCTTCTGCTAACACTAAGTCAGCATAAACAACAACATTCGGATTTTCAACACAAATGTGAAGTCAATCAGTCAGTTCTTCTATACGGGTTAGAAACTTGCCCTGCTTGTATGGCACGAAAGAGATTTGCAACAGCCTACTGCAGACTTTTATCAACAGCTGCCACCTTCGTTGGCTCCACAGTGAAGACCGAATGGCCAAAGAGAACTAGGAACAAGAAATTATGATAACAAACCAAACAAGGACCTGTTGTTCAACAAATGTGTAAGAGAAAATGAACATGGATAGGGCATACATTGAGGAAGCCATCGAATGACATTCAGTACCATTGTCCCTCAAGTGAAATCCAAATAGGAAGCAACAAATGGGTCGTCAGTGCGAGGGTGACATGGAGGGGATCGTTTGGGGAGGAGGTGACGAGAGATTATGGGCGATTGTGAACCCAGCTGAAGAGGACGGCACCAAATAGAACAAAGTAGAGATGTGTTGTTGAAGCCCTACGTTCCACTCAGAACCCAAGGAAGGGGAGGCAGCATGGTTTTAACTACTGGCTGCACACAACGATATCAAAACCAGCTAGCATCTGATCGCTAAAGCATGACAGGTGTTTATTACTCTGAGACTGATGTGGGGGATCTACAATACTATTCAGCATACGAAACGATTTTAAAATTTTCAACACTAATTTCAAATCTGTGTGTGCCACCAAGAGCATTCCTAACTTTCATTAGCAGCTGCCTTCGGTCGAGACTGAAGATCAGACGACTGGCTGGCTATAAAGGATACTCAAAACCAACAAAGGACCCTACCAATGAACCGGCCAAGAACTTATTGCCTAAAAAATATGAAGAACGATATCGAGATGGGATTGGGTATACACACAATGAGAAGACTTTCAGTGATGTGACATTATAATGTGAAGCCTATGTGAGTGGGAAACAACGAGTTGAGATGCGGTTCACAGGTGACATGGGATAGATTGTGTGTGTGAAGAGGGAATGACAGGCTATGGCAAGTTATGGAATCCGCCAAAGACGACTTCAGAGAGAACGGAACGAAGCGGAGATGTGTTGCTGCTGCTCAGAACAAATAAAAAACCACTTCACAAAAAAAGCGATGGTACCACCACCACCATCACTACCGTGAATGATACGACAATGAAATCACACTCCCTATCGACAAACTTTATTCAGGAGACATATATAAATTCCATATTAGTTTGCTTATTAGATGTATCACACAGTGAAACAGTATTATTTACTGGATGACGTTTCGAACAAAATTTATTACTGTTCATAATCATAATAATTGTAATCACATGACTTTGAAACTTGAGGTTTATAGTTTTCTTTGTTTTCTCCTATTTGTCGTAAAGGCAGTAGAATTTTCCAGATATCTGCCACGAGTTTGCAGTTGATTCGATAAATAAAGCTTCCGCCGTTATCAATCTCTCCCTACACTCTGTGACATTAGATTTTAAAACTGTCATCCTATCCCATCCAGCCTATTGTATGGTTGTGTGTAATTGCATGTAGTGAGTGGTATAGCTGAACTATTCTCTAAATCTCTTATCTTATTTGGGTCAACTAATCCAAATTTTGCTAGGTTTTTATGCTTGGCTTGTCTGACTGCACCTGTTCTACTAGTTTGACCTATGTATTTGACCTGACAATCATTCCAGCATTGTATTAGATAAACTAAATTGTTTTGTTTTAAAGGCTTCACTTGTAGGATCCTTAGCCAACAAAGTTTGTTTCTAATTGAGTTTGTGGGCAGTTTGAATGCCAGCCACTTTTATTCCTTCATGGATTGTTAAGAATTCTGCGTAAGGTTTCCAAGTATGGGATTACAATCGATGATTTAGATTCCTTATTGTTGGTGTCGTCATTATTAATAACTAATATCACAGGGTAGAGGGAACAGGACTAAGAAAAGAAGCTTTGTTTATCGAATCAAGTGCAAACACGTGTAATAGGGATGATTCAACACCTGTCCAGCCAGATATCTGGAAAATTCTATAACCCCTACGACGACAAATAGGAGAAGACAAAGAAAACTATAAAACTCAAGTATCAAAGTCGTGTGATTATAAATGATGAAATGATTATGAGCAATAGTAGATTGTGTTTGAAACATTGTCATCCAGTGAATAATACTGTTTCACAGCCTGTGTGATACATCTAATAAACAAATATGGAATTACTTACTACCACAGTGCCAAAGTTTTACATATATATTCATAAGACGTATATATATAAACATTATTCAATTCTTCTGAACACACACAGACAAAATACTTGAGATGATACTTACAACTACTTTTAAAAGAAAAACAACATTATAACGACAAAATTTACACTAAGTAACAATAACACCAAAAACATGACACGTCGCCTTATTCACAGGCAAAAATGAGAGAGACGCTGACACACTTACACTCGAGCAACATTATAGAACATTTCCAATGGGCACTCTTCAATTGGCAGCATTTTAATCATTCTATCCAATCTAGGCCCATAGATACGATTAATTTCATCACCGATTTCAGCTAAATTACGCGCGACTATCGCTTCAACACTGAAACACATACAGAAAAAAAATAATAGTGTTGCTTAACATGTACAACAATGTATACAATCAATAAATAACAACGACGATTGTGAGTTAAAAGAGATTATTTTCTCTCTTACACACACACACACACACACAAATGTTAGTTTAGTAATGAATAAATTCACTAGAATGAATGAATTAAGACAATAAACCAGAAACTAGAGTAGACATTACATTTTTATGCCACATCATAATAATGTCTGAATTTACAAAATAAATGTTGAACAAATAATATTTTTAACAATTAGTTTTATCGAGTTTCAGTTATACAGAGTTTTATATTGCTCACCTTATTATACCACCTCAGACTGGAGGTGGTATAATAAGGTGAGCAATATTGAGGTTAGGGGTCGGTCGAGTGCTAGGTAAGGAGGGAAAATCAATCGACGAGGCCGTGAAGCTACATCGATTGAGATGGTTAGGACATGTGTTACGGATGCCTAGCCATCGCCTTCCTCGACAATATGCAATGTTAGCTGACATAGAGTCGGACCGGAAAAGAGCTAGAGGCGGTCAAACTAAAACATGGTTTCACCAGTCAATGAAATCTACAACAGTTAGTTTAAGCCAGTCACGTAGGAGGGTGTAGTGTAGACTGGCCTCCTGGTTGGGGTCTTCGAGATAGTAAAATCTAGTAGCTTGAGACAATTGGTGGTATGGCTCAAAATCGTTCTCAATGGCTGGCGCAGATGCACCCACTCATTGTGACTTATGATTTCCAATGAAACCATATTGATCTTCGTTACTACTCTTCCTTTGTCTCACACCTCTGTTTACTGTCTCTATTATGCATTTCTTCTACTCTCTTCTGTTGCTTTGTGTGCCACATGGTGTGTGGCGACTTGAACTATCACACATCGGTGCAAAGTTCTATGTCGAAAACAGACAGACAGATTTTTATAGAGATTCGATTTGTTTCAATCTTGACCACGGACTGATATCAGGTTAGAAAGACTAGCAGGTGGAGTAATGGACAGCTAACTGTTTTGTCCTACCTAGTCTGGGACTCTTCGGCAGGTCACACCCACTCCACCAGGGCTCGGACCCAAGAACTTCAGAATACAAAGAAAGCTTGTAGAGTATCCACAGCCATTGAGATCTGACGCAATGGCTCATTGATTTGAGACTCCTAACTATTCCTGATTTTAGTGCGCCAACCAGCCAATGTTACCGGTGGCGAGTATTTATCCTCGCACCAGACACCTCGTGCACCCCACTGGTCACGACTTCTTACTAGAAGTCAAGGCAACTTCGTTCCTGCAGCCGCCAGCCACTAGCAAGCATCAAATTGATTTTCAAGAGTTAGTTTACAGAGATTCAATTTTTTTCAAGTTTGATCATTGAGAGAAACATAGGAAACCAATGATTCGTGTCCCAGTGACTGCTAATGGTCTATGAGCTTGCTAGCATTGTCTGTCTGGTCTGTCTGGATTCAACATAGAACTTGGCACCGAAGTGCAGCAGTTCGAGTTGCCACCTTCCAAATAGCACACAGAGGTAGACAAGAAGATGAGTGAAGAGAATTAATAGAGTTTGACAAATATAAGAGTGAAACAGAATGGGTAATGGTAGAAAGGAATATGAAAGATTACAGAGATTGAATACATCTACGCCATTGACAACGATTTTGAGCCATGTCACCTATTGTCTCCAGCCATTGATTCCTAGAGTCCCGAGGGCCCCGACCCGGGAGTCTGCATCTCCCTACCTGACCGACTCAGTTTAACTGTCAAGGATTTCATGGATTGATGAGGCCATGTTTTTGTTTGGCCACCACTGGCTCTTTTCCAACCTGAACCTATATCAGCTAACAATGCCCGTCGGGGGAGGCGGTGGTTAGGCATGCGCACCACGTGACCTAGCCATCTTAGTCTATGTAACTTTATAACCTCGTCGATTGATTTTCCCTGTTTGCCCAACACTCTACGCCTAACGTCAACATTACTTATCTTGTGAAACCACCTAACGTGAGACAGAGATCGCAGACATCTATGATCGAAAGCAGTCAACCTTTTCATGTCTTCAACGCGTATTGGCCATGTTTTAGAGCCATAGAGAAGGACGGAGCGAACTGATGAGCAGTACACACGTCCCTTGGTTGATAACCGGATGTCACGCCTACGCCAGAGATGGTGTAAGTCAGCGAAAGCAGCTCGAGCTTTTCGGATCCGTGCTGAGATTTCATCGCCAATCAGTCCGTTGGTGCTAATACAACTTCCCAAGTAGGTGAAGTGGTCAACATGTTCTATCACTTCACTCCCTATCACTAAGTTAGGAGTTGACGTGGTCCAGTCCTGTAGCAGCATCTTACATTTTGCAGGGGCGAATCGCATGCCAAACATACGAAGATTGCTGCTCAAGGTGTTCAGAAGACTCTGCATTTTGTCAGCATCCTCCCCTAACAGGACTATGTCATCTGCATTGTAATCTGAAGGTGCTCAGTTCCGATGCCGGTTGGTGACCCCACTGTCTATGAGTCCCAAATTAGTTCTTTATATGCTATCAGATTTGAAATAATATTTTCAACTTTTGGTTTACAGCGGGAAAGGCGGGGGTTAATCAATTGCTAGTTTGAACCATGCAATGATAAAAATCAGAGAAGCACTAAAAACTAGAGAGCATTAGACAGATACTTTGGTTCAAGTGTGAGAATATCCAGCACTACACACACACACACACACACCTCCATGAACCCAAAGGGTGACACTCATGCTGGCTCAAGTCAGAATTCATAGGGCATTTCGATTCCAGTCCAATGATTGAATAGTCAACGCACTCGCCTCGTAATCTGAAAATCATGAGTTTGGTCTCCGGTGGGGGTCATATTTGCATATTGTTGAAGACTTCCAACCTGGGACATACATAATAGCTGTCCAGCACTTCATTTTTTTCAACAGTTCTCTATATGATGATGTCAACATTTTATTTTAGAAATGCAACATTTTATTCGTTCTAACATATGATATCGGAATAATTGTATCCTAATATCTGAGTCTATAATTATTGTGATGTGTAAAAATGTGACACGATAGTAGAGCATGTACATTCTCAGCTTTGTTGTAATCGAAAATGCAGCACCAGTATTTTATTTAAGAGAGTGGTTTAAATCTGACTAGATCCAGATCTCAGATCCATAATTGAGATATGTAAAGATCTGAACGCCTCAGCTAGCCAGGGACATGCTCTATTTGAAATGAACGAGGTAACACTCGGTATAGCTATCCCCTCTATATAAAAACCAGTAGGGTGCAGCAGGTCGGGTGTGAGGACAAATACTTGCCGAAGACATTGGCTAGGGGTCGCGCTATTTCATTCATTGGTAGAAGTTAGAATTCATGGTCTGGCCATTGGATCGGATCCCGGTGGCTTAATGGTATACGAGCTCGCTTTGTAACCAGAAGGTCCTGGGTTCGAACCTTGGCGGTGGGTGCGTATTGATGAAGAGTCCCAAACTAGGACGAAACAGCTGTCCAGTACTCCCAGGTTTCCAATGGTTCTCTAACCAATGTCAGCTCATGATGAAATCCTGTTAAAAACCAACTGAAATTGTTTGCAATATATTTTACATGTCCAGTCTATAATTATAGGGAAAAAGTGTATACTACTGTGGCATGTACTTCTGACAAGATCCATCAGTAGTATATGAAGAAACTTTCATCGCCGCACAAAAATATCAAATAGCGGAGAGATACATTTGGCGTAAAGAAGAGGAAATATGAACCAGTAATGCGGTAAAAGCAGCAAAGACATGAAAAGAAGGCAGAGAAACACAATACGCAAGAAATGTGCAGAAGTAGTGAAGCACGGAAGATCTGTGCAGCAGAAAATGATGACTTCAACATATGTGGTGAGTGTCAATTTCCCCACATATGCATGCCAAACTGTATGTAAACATTCCGTTGCCAAGTCTTTCATTTCCTTCCGTTACACTACCACAATTAAGCTGAAATGAATGGTTGAGAACCGCTCAAGTCAAACAGTAGCAGCGTCTACTAGAGTGGTCTAAGTAATCTAAATACTGAGTTCGAGCTCATATCAGTAATGAAACGAGATGTTAACTCACTCAACAACCTACTTGCAATCCCATGCAACCGGTAATGTACCACGCCTATTATGTGGAAGAGCCAGTGATAGTATCTGGCTGCCTAAATCTAGGTAAACGGGACAGGGTTCGAACCTTTGACCGATTTGGTTAGAAGTCGAATGTCTAGGCGAATGAGCCACAGCTCATCACGAATAGGCTTGGATCGCTATATAATTTTAGCTTCCTTGGTTCTCATATATATATCGAACAGTTTAACTGAATCTTTCATACATATTTTCCACACACACTTTTTTTAAAATTCTAGTTAATTTCAACATTCGATTATATTTCCTTTCTACCTTTCGCTTTTTAGTGGATTCAAGTTAGACAATGTATATATGACGCTGTTCAATTGTTAAGTAAGACTATGTGACACTTATTTATTTCAATTTGGACTTTCTCGTCGAAGCATCCACACAAGGAGTCGATATATCAACAAAGATCGAGCACTTGGATCGAACCAACCAACAGGAAAGTTCAGATTGAATTAAATAATACTCGTTTCACAAGAGACGGCTCTCGTGTTCTAGTGGATAACGCTATGGCGTTTGGCATATTGGGTACTGGGTTCGAGCCCCAACGGGAACACACTATCACTGACTCATTGAGGAATACATGTACATCCAGAGTTCAAAATAGGAAGAAGTGTGCAACCTTCTGGCTGGATTCCACTGATAGTCACCATCCTCCAAATTGTTTAACATTTAGTTTAACTAAAACATGCATAACTCACAAAATATTTATAGCCGGGGGGAGGGGTAGGTAACTTACCTATTTGGTTGAGCACGTGGTAACGATTGGAACTGATGACTTACAGGGTCATCCGGCTGAGTGGTGTCTGTAATAGAAATTGAAGCTGAAGCTTTGGCTGAAAGTGAATTATTGAGTTTTGACGATGATGATGCTTGTGCTGATGCAGACACTTCTAGCATATATCTATCAAGCATAAAGTTACTAAAAACAAGTTCTGATGAAGCGTCCACTTCTTCGGGGGTACTTGGAGTTAACTCAGAGACAACCTACAAAAAATTGAATGGAAGAAAATGCCAAATAACTGAGTTATTGTAGAAAAAAGATACGTTAACAAGACGATCAAAAAATCTGCACAGAAGCCTCTGTCTGTTTCCAACATGGAACTTTGCACCGATGGATGTGCAGCAGTTCAAGTCGCAACACTCCCTCTATGTAGCACACATAGCAATAGAAAAAAGTAGAAGAAATGCAAAATAGAGACATTAAACAGGGGTATGAGACAAAAAGAATAGTAATAACGAAGGATAATAGAATTTCATTGGATATTATAAGTCACAAGAAGTGGATCCATCTGCACCATTGGGAAAGATTTTGAGACATATCACCAATTGTCTCAAGCCACTGGTTTTTACTGTCTCGAGGACCCCAACCACGAAGTCTACACCTTCCTATGTGGCTTAGATTAACTGCTGTAGATTTCATTGACTGGTGAAACCATGTTTTGTTTGACCGCCTCTAGCTTTTTTCCGGTCTGACTGTATGTCAGCTAACATTGCCTATTTTCGAGGAAGGCGATGGCTAGGCATCCGTAACACATGTCCTAACCATCTCAATCGATGTAGCTTCACGGCCTCGTCGATTGATTTCCCCTCCTTACCTAACACTCGACCAATGCTTAACCTCAATATTGCTCACCTTATTATACCACTTCACACGAGAGATAGAACGGTACAGAAGCTTAAACAAATCATTCCTAAATAGAAGGATTAGGAATGCCACATACACACACACACACTAGATTAGTCTTCATGTAGAGTGAATTCTCTTGTGTGACAAAAAAAAGATAACCATATATAGACACGTTCATGAACTGTTGTATGAGAGTAAGCGATAGCATCTAATTGCGTTGGTGGTGGTGGTGCAGCGGTAGAATGCCCACCAACCATGGTTCGATACCTGGCCGACGCACTCCTAAACCTCGGTTAGGTAGTAGTAGTAAGCTATGTAAACAGGCAAAGTTGGGAGTGAGACTGGCAAGTCCACCTCGTAAAAATAAACAGCCACTGCTATTGCAACTGCAAAGCTCGAGCTTGAAGCTCTATGTTCCACTGGGAACGCGAAGGAATAAAAAATATAAAGTGATAACATCTACAGAGCTGCCTAAGATTCGTTTGTCTGAATACGTATTCAAAGCTACAATGCATACAGGTTCGGAAGCTAACTGGTTAAATCAAAAGAGCACAAATTCAACTTCGCTATATTAACTAAACAGGCAAAATTTAATCAATTTTGTAACACTAATTACCTTTGAGAAGGCCTTCTATAGCGTTGACCGTCAATTAGTTTGGAAACCGCTTCAAAACTATAACGTGCAATGCCCCAAATCTTTATCAACTTCGTTCAACAGCTACATGACAGTGCCAAATGTCAGGTGATCCACAACGGAAAACTCAGAGAAGCTTTTGAAATGAAGACGGGTGTGAGAAAAAGCCGTTCACTATCGCTGATGATATTCCTGAGTGTGGCGGACTGGATTATACGGTACACCGTACGTGAGAGCGAGAAGATACGAATATATTGGACTGATAAGAAGACGCTAGAAGATCTGGACTTTGTGGATGATTTATAACTGTTACATAAACTCGAAGACTTTCAGGCGGAGACTAACAAACTTGCAGAAGAAGCAACAAAGACAGGAATTCAGATATACACATAGAAAATCGAAGTAATGATAGTAACCAACCAACAAAAACAAGCACCAATCGTTATCAGAGGAATAAAATTGAAAGACGTCATTTCCTTCACTTATCTAGGTGGCATCGTTTCAACTGCACGCAACAGCACGGATGAAATGAGTTTGGAAGGCTCATGTACTCAGCATAAACAACAAAATTCGTATTTTCAACACCAAAGTTAGGCCAGTCAGTGCTTCTATATGGATCAGAAACTTGGTGCGTCACAAAGGGCATTTCATGTAGGCTACTGAGGCTTTTATCTAGTTCCATATTGATAATCAGATGGCTAGAAAGGATTAGCAACAAGGGACTATGGGAACGAACCAATCGAGAATCCATGGCTCAACAGGTGTGCAGAAGAAAATGGACATGGATAGGACCCAAGCTGAGGAGACCGTCAAATGATATCTCGTGCCAGGCTGTCCCTGGAGTGGAAAACGACAAGTGGAGCATCGCTTCGAGGGTGAAATGGAGCAGATTTTGTAAGGAGATGAAAGACTATAGGTGATCGTGAGGCCAACTTAATAGGACGGCAGGGAGTAGAACAAAGCAGAGGTGTGCTGCTGAAACTTTATGTCCCACTGGGAACCCAAGGGAACAATAATATATATATATATATATATATATATATATATATATATATATATATAATAACAGTAGTAATTAAAAACTACCTTTGATTTTACATACTACTTCATGTCTATACTTAAACCTTTTACTCCATGTTATAAAATTCATATTTGAAAAGGTGTTTAAAAAGACACTCAAAATATAACTGTTAACATAATTTCAAAAACAGAATTAAAGATTTCAGAAAATCTAATAAAAATGTACTTTATTTAAGCACGGATAAAGTTACATCACATTAACTGAGATGACTAGGCCGCGTTTAACGCATGCCAATCCACCGACCTTCTCGTCCAGCAATGTTTACTGACATAGGATTAAGTTGGAAAAGGGTTAGGCGTAGTCAATTCAAAACCTTACATCAATCTAATTGCTGTTTACCGACAAAGAAATAATAATATGGTCCCGTTTATACCATCACAAGTAGAAATAAGCAGAAACATCAGCCAACTGAAAAAATGGATTCCGTGAGATAAGGAAGTCGGGAACAAGGTACAACAGGAAGGAATAGAATCATGAACGTCTGAACGGCTAAGGTCGAAACTATTTGATAGAGGGACGAGTGTGGTTGTATATAAACAGACGTCCATGGACATAAACACATCGAATAGCAGGGAGATAGATAGATTTGATGTCAGAGAAAGCAAATGATACACCTTTGCGCAGATACATGGCAGGAACACAAAGAAACCCAGTACGAAAGAAGGCCAGAAGTAGCACAACACGGAAGATCTATGCAAATGGTGCGTTGAGGATACGGTGTACATAATTTCGCTATACAGAGATACAAAATCATAAATAAACATTCCTTCACCAAGTCTTTCGTCTTCTGCCGTTACAGTAAGACCTGAAGGAATATTGGTTCCCGCCAGTGTAGCTCGTTGGGTAATTGCTATATGCAAGCCAGACTACCACGTCAAGATAGTGGCTATCGATCGGGGTTATAACAGTGAACACTAAAGGATTATATTTTGGCCTATAAGATAGGACTAATACTATCAGACAGAACCATCTCTACATACTCCAACAGTAGTACAGTTAAAAATTTAAGTTCAAAAGACTATAAACAGTAGCTAATTTTTAAAGTGACTAATTACCCTTTATATTTGGATGTCTGTCTGTTTTCGACATAGAACTTTGCACCGATGTGTGATAGTTGAAGTCGCCACACACCATGTGGCACACAAAGCAAGAGAAGAAAGTACAAGAAATGCATAATAGAGACAGTAAACAGAGGTGTGAGACAAAGGAAGAGTAGTAACGAAGAACAATATGGTTTCATTGGAAATCATAAGTCACAAGGAGTGGATGCATCTGCGCCAGCCATTGAGAACGATTTTGAGCCATACCACCAATTGCCTTAAGCTACTAGATTTTACTATCTCGAAGACCCCAACCAGGAGGCCAGTCTACACTACACCCTCCTACGTGACTGGCTTAAACTAACTGTTGTAGATTTCATTGACTGGTGAAACCATGTTTTGGTTTGACCGCCTCTAGCTCTTTTCCGGTCTGACTGTATGTCAGCTAACATTGCATATTGTCGAGGAAGGCGATGGCTAGGCATCCGTAATGTTGTGAACTTTTCTTATAATACGTATCTAGTCATATTCATATCTCTACCGCTATTAACACTCTTTTTTTCCTTTATATGTTTAAGCCATTCCGGCTTCATTGTAAAATGAATAAAGCCTAAATTCTTGGTTCATTCGTCTTTTCAAGATTCAAGCATCACTCATCGTTCTAAGACTCAATCACCTTCGTAACAATTTATTCATTTTACAATATTCATGGAACGATTTTTCCGACCTGATCGGTTCGACGTAGAACCTAACGCAGTTGGAGCTGCCAAGAAGTGGGATCACTGGTTTGCGACTTTCTCCTACTTCATTGAATCAATGGGATCCGAAAATCCTTCGAAACTACATATTCTCTTCAATCATATTTCTACTTCTGTATACGAATGCATTTCTGAATGCAAAACATACGAAGAAGCTATCGACACTCTCAAGAGTCTCTACATGCAGCCTTGCAACGAAGTGTTTGCTCGACACTTGTTAGCAACGTGTAAACAAGAATCTGGCGAAAATCTGGATCAGTTTGTTCGTCGACTCAAGTCGCTGACTACAGATTGTTCATTCAGGGCAGTTACAGCCGAAGAACATCGTAACGAATCTCTACGTGATTCATTCATCTCAGGTATACAGTCTTCGATGATACGCCAGAGGCTATTAGAACAGCGTACTTTAACTTTTCAAGCGGCATACGATCAAGCACGAGCTCTAGAGATGGCACATCAACAATCGCAGTCATACAACAATCCTGTTACACCTTGCGCGTCCATTTCTTTACATGATGTACCTCATTCATCAGATTCCACACCCTCCGTCAATGAAACAACCATTGCTGCCGTTGAATCCAAATGCTTTTTCTGTGGTAATCGTAGACATCCTCGTTCCAAATGCCCCGCCCGTGATGCAGTTTGCAAAGCTTGTGGCAAGCAAGGACATTTTCAGAAGGTTTGCAGGTCTGCGCCATCTACGAAAAAAGGTCCATCTTCAGTTAACTCTATAATTTCATCTCTCGTTGTGGCTTCAGCACCTCAAAGTCTCACTGATGCTGTTACGCAGCTTACTGTCAATGGGAAATCAATGCAAGCTCTAGTGGATACCGGAAGCAGTGAG